GCGTTAAACATGTTCAAGAAAATTAAAGTCAATCAAAGCATAACACTAGAAAAAGTACTAATGTCAAAGATTATAATTAAATATAAGAAAAAACGTACTTTTAAAATACAAATATGGTGATCACATGAACATACAGACATGTGTGAACTTTACCATTCCAGAAATGAAGAATAAGGGAAAAAAGCATTAGAAGAGGACCAGGTTGACTTACCTGAAGCAAATGACAGAATACACCCACACTTCTTAATAGTTTGATCACATTACGAGTGTTGCCAATCTCACACTCCGTTTGACGCAGTAAGCAAGATGCGAATTCCGAGTGAGGGTTTTCCAAGACAGAACGAAGGCAGCCTGAGCTAAACAGACGATCCAGAAAACCAAGTAATGGAACAGTGATCCTGTCGACCTTCTGGTGGCGTAGGAAAATTACAATGATTTTTAGACAAAGTTCTTCCAGCTCCAGATGATGAGCTTCCAGGTACGAGATCAGTGATAAACTTGAGTATGACGCCTGCGAACAAGTCAAAGACTCCGTTATTACATAAAACAGTTCACTGAAACAAAGATCTTGTAATGCAAGTCATATGTATCTTTGTGGTTTATGCTTTCAGGAATAGATTCCGACCAAAAACCACACTTTATTCATAAAACTTACAATAGAGATGAAACCAAGCAGATAATATTCATATAAGCCAGTCATATCACCAGATAATCGGCAAAAATTGAGTGTACAATTGGACAGTAACTCGTCTATTTGCATATATTTCAATAACCTTATGACTCAGAAGAAAAGTACCGCGCAACATTCTCACTTAATTTAGTACACACAAAATTAGTTGAGCTAACGAAAATGTCTGTCTTCTGGGTCGTAACGCCGTATAGTCTAGCTAATCAATGTTTCAGAGGTTATGAGTCATTGCCCTTATGATGGAACAGTAATGACCTCTGGAACACTGGTTAGCATCTACCAAACTACATGGCACTACAACCCAGAAGACAGCCTTTTCCTTCTTTGTACTAACTGCTATGAGAACCTAGGTGGGGTAATTAAAACGTGTTTAAGCATAACTTATATTAAAGTCCATACAGATAAACATGTCTGTTTCCTGTTCAGAATCATCTGAAAATAGAACTTTTACTGCCATTGTGAAATTTCTCTTTATGCTAGAAGGAATACCCAAGAAAATTAGTTGAGATTTCAACACTTTCGCATCTACGCTGGTGAGATTAATTTACTGGGCAGGAACAAAAATACTATACAGAAAATCCAGATATTCTATAAGCGAAGAAAAATATGTATACATTTATATTTTGTCAAAATAATGCAAACATGTAATAAAGGTAGACAATACACACCATGAAAATGTATCAAGATCGAAACAAACAGATCAAAATTTCACTCAGAAAGTAAAAGCAGTTTAATTTTGAGGAGGCTCGCCACTGCAAGTTCAGAATAACTGACCTTTCAGTCATGTAAAATACACAAACATGTAATTTTGCCAGTATTAGGGCACTAGTGTATGAGGGGGGAAACTCTGTATGATACAACAAAAAGAGTTTCCAACCTAAACGTTGCATTTATGTCATTTATTCCCGAGTTCAAAACGTAAGTTAAATTGGTTTTTCTCTGGTATAATTTATACTATTATAAAATGACAACACCAAATATTTTATTTTTTTCTGATTAACATTAATTCACTACTTTAGCAGATAAATCTTAAGATCGTAAATGTTAATGAATATTTTGCTTTAATCTTTTAGTGATATTACTGTTGTGTTGTAGTTGGTGTTGTTTTTCTCTGATCAAGATTAAAATTAGGTTACTCCTAAACACAGGTCAGGCATAAATCAGTATGTTAACCTCAATCTGAAATAATACTCAGGCATATTAGAATCAAACTCTCACCACACTCTCAGGGAAGGCATCCAAGCTGACTACCAAACCAGGCAGCACATTGTGCCTGAAAGATCGGAATGCAAGCAAATGCATGAAACGTGGGAATGTGTCAGATGCTGCGATCCAGTTTATCTCATCCTCAGGTGATGCTGGTGGGAAGATACTTAGCAGCTCTGCACGGTATGGAATGTATGAGATCCCAAAATCACTGGAATAGAACCACATGTCCTTATCACACTTGTTAGAACTCATACATCGCTAAACTTAAATAGAAGTAACTCACTAGCACTTAGTATCACTTGTAACATTAATCTGCACACTAAAATTAATTCAGACAGATAACGGTATTTTGTACAATAAATTAAACTTTTTCAAAATTAAGGAATGTCTACATGTAAAAAAATTAATCCATCTACAAAATGTCAATCACAGAATCATAGAATCAAAAATGATAACGATTCATGTAAAAAGCTTCAGATACCAACCACTGCATAAATCTGTACCATTTAAGATTTACCAGACAGGTATCATGATTCTGCTCAGAATTTATTTTAAATTGGGGGGGGGGGGGG